TTCCAGGAGATCTAAAGCCCTCTTCTGACCTCCAAGAGCTCCTGCATACATGTAATGTATACACATAAACATGCACACATAAGCAGACACATAATTAAGAACATTTAAAAGATTGTGAAAAATCTGAATTCCTCAGTTCCCAAGTCCAACCTGAAATGCCCCAGTGTTCGAAACTTTTAAAAGTGCTGCCATGACATGAGCAGAAAACTCCACACTTGGTGTCATGGAGTGGGATCTAAGCAAAATAAAGGCTCACCAAAAATACATCAAATTGTCTTCAACTTATGTGGAATGATGGATGTGAAACAAAAGAATTCCACGTTTAGATTTGTCTCCCAAACCTAAAGTACTTCACTGTGTAATTGCAAAAACTTCCTCCACCCCACCTCCAAAATCCCACCCCTGAATCCTGAAACAGTTCTGGTCCAAAGTGTGCTGAGTGGCTTTTTGTCAACTTGACACAAGCTAGAGTCATCTGGAACAGAGAACTTTGATTGAGAAAATGTCTCAATCAGATTGGCCTGGTGACAAGTCAAGGGGCATTTTTCTTGATTAATCATTTATGTAGGAGGCCACTGTAAGTAGTGTCAGCCTAGGCAGATGGTCCCGGGCTGTATAAAAAGCAGGCTGAGCAAACTATGGGGGCAAACCAGAGCAGCTCTCCTCTATGGCCTCTGCATCCGGGTTCTTGCCATGACTTCCCCTCATAATGGACTGTAAGCTCTAAGATATTATAAACGTTCCCCTCCCATGGCTTCTGACTGTGTGTATCACAGCCACAGAAATAAACTAAGACAGAAGTCAGTAGCAGAGGGCAGCTTATTGCTGTAATCAACATGTTTTGGGGAGGACCGTGGAAGTGTTTGGAATGCTGGGTTGGGAAAGCCACTGAATGCTCAGAGCGTAATGGGCTGTTGTGTGGGAGCCTGGGAGGCAGGACTGCTGAGAGCCAGCCAGCAAGCACCATTCCTTCATGGTCTCTGTTCCAGGTCCCTCTTCTGCTTGAGTTTTTGACTTGGCTTCCTTCAATTAATAGACTGTAATCAGGACATGTAACCAAATAAACCTTTTCCTCTCCAAGTGCTTCTGGTCCAGCCTTTATCAAATCATAGAAAATAAAGTAGGACAGAAATTGGTCCTGAGAGTGAGTAAAGTATGAATATTTTATATGGGAAACCAATTTTATGACTAAAAAGAACACAGATTGGATGCTGCAAACAGGAGAAAAGGTGCCAAACAAAATACTGATCCAGCATAAAGTCTGTCATAAGTGCAATACCCAGAAAAACATACTGGGGCAGTGTCCATGTCTGTAAGCCAGGATTGTTAAGTTCAAGATCATCCTCAGTTGCAGAGAATTCAAGGCTGGCATGGCTTTATAGGACTCTGACTTTAAAAACCAAAGGGATAATAATAACATAAAATTCTGATCCAGTATATCAATAATAACTCATTATTTACCCCAGACTAATAGCTTTTATTAAAACCAAATTATTCCTAAGTTTACACAGTCTGGAAATAGAAGATATGTATGTGGATAGGACACAGGCCCTCAGAGTCTAGTGATATAAGTAGCAAAAGGTACCAAGAGGAGGTCAACTGAGGTGGCAGAGGTGCCAGAAATTTGCAATGTAGAGTCTAGGGGTTTTGGACCTTAGAATTTCTTAAAATTTGGGCCAAAGAATTCTTAGCTCTGAGGGGTAACCTGGGCACCAGATGATGCAAGGCAGCAGCCCTAGTCCCTACCTACTAAAGTCAGTAATATCCCTTTCCAATTCTTACCATGGAAATACCTATATGTCTCTAGACTTTTCCCTTTAGGGACAAACTTACTCCCAGTTGGAAAACATACTGCCTTAGACTATGACATGGAAGGCAGACTCATCAGTGGGCCCTACACACATCATTGGCGGGATGGTTTTCATAGCTTTCCCATGTGGAGACTACACTAGACTACCTCACAGGTGAAAACGCCACACACCACCTCTAAGCAGACCTCCTCGTGCTCTGTCTCTCTCCAGCTTCACTTAAGGGATGAAAGAACCTTTTTTTTTTTTAATTTTAAAGATTTATTTATTTTTACTTTTGAGTGTTTTGCCTGCGTGTGTGTATCATACCCATGTCTGGTGCCCACAGAGGGCAGAAAAGGATGCTGGAGTTCCTGGATCCAATTAACTGGAGCAACAAAGAGTTGTGAGACACCTGGCATGTACTTCAAGGACAGCCAGTGCTATCTTAACTACTGAGCCACCTCTCTAGGCCTGAGAGGGCATCTTTTGTTTTTAAACTTTTTTCTATATTGAAGTCAGTCTACAGAGACTCCAACTGCTCAGATATTTCCTCCCACTTCCTGGGAGCACATCCTCCCACCTCCTGGGAGCACGTCCTGAGGAGGGACGAGCGTTAGCTTTTCTGGACCGGCCTCATGGCGATCTCTCAACAGTCGAGGGTAATGACTAAAGAGCTATGATGACATTTTACAGGGATTCAGTTAAAAAATGTGTGCTCCAAATGATCTGTTCTCTGTAAGGGTACTCTGTTGAGAAACAAAATATGATATGTAATATATAATTTAATTTGCTCACAAGATCCCTTCCATAAAACATCAATTTAAAACACATGAAACAAAAACTTTAACTATAAACTATCTTCTTCCTTCCTTCCTTTCTTCCTTTTCTGTCTTTTCTGTCTTTTGAGATAGTTTATCTCTGCCTAACAGTCCTGGCTGTCCTGGAACTTACTATGCAGACCAGGATGTCTCGAATTCACTGAGATCTGCCTGCCTCTGCCTCACAGAGCACTGCGATCAAAGGTGTGCACCACTACGCCTGACCACAAAACTTCTTTTAAAAACTTCTTGACTTTTTAAAAAAAGATTTATTCAGTTCATAGGATCTTATTATATATCCCTTTTGGCTTTGACCTCACTGTGTATCCCTAAGTGCTAAGGCCCAGGCCACCATGTACCATTCAGGAACATTTAAGTTTCTGTCAGTTTACACAGGCAGGCAAGCTGCAAAAACTGTCCCATACAGTGCTCCAAGTTTCCACCCACACCCCCTCCCCACTCATCAACTTAGTCAGAATGAGCAATTGCAAGCTCATGGAGGGTCAACAACTCTTCCAGTGTTAATAAGTGCTCAGGTTAGAATCCAATTCCCTAGTTCAGTACCATCCCTCAACAAGGCCACTAACTTTACAAAACAAATGGGGAACTTTATTTCCTGTTCGTTTATTTCCTATTAAAACAGGGACTTTCACCCACACTACAGACAAGGTCATCAAAACACACAAGATGAAGAACACACTAACATTTCTTTCCTTCTTTATGAAAATGTTTCTGCTCTTGGAGCAGATACTGTTTGTACATGACACTTCACCACATGAAAAATTAGTGGCCCACCATCTTCTTACAGATCATTTATAATGAGAGTCGAAAAGCAATTTACAGTTTGTACTGTCCAATAGGATGATATGTTACACTTAAATAAAAAAAAAAAAAAAAAAAAGGGCCGGGCTGTGGTGGCGCAAGCCTTTAATCCCAGCACTTGGGAGGCAGAGGCTGGTGGATTTCTGAGTTCAAGGCCAGCCTAGTCTACAGAATGAGTTCTAGGACAGCCAGGGCTACACAGAGAAAATCTGTCTCGAAAAACCAAAAACCAAAAAACCAACCAACCAAACAACAACAAAAACAAAAAACAAAAAAACCAACCAAACAAAAGGTTCAGAATAATTTTTTTTCAAGCCCAGCCTGGTCTATAGAGTGAGTTCCAGGTCAGCCTGGGCTACACAGAGAAACTCTGTCTTGAAAAAAAAAAAATTTTTTTTTCTTCAACTTTTTCTTTGGGGTGATGGTGGTTTAAGACAGTTATTTAAAAATACTACTGTAGCCGGGCGGTGGTGGTGCACGTCTTTAATCCCAGCACTTGGGAGGCAGAGGCAGGCGGATTTCTGAGTTCAAGGCCAGCCTGGTCTGCAGAGTGAGTTCCAGGATAGCCAGGGCTACACAGAGAAACCCTGTCTCGAAAAACTTTAAAAAAAAAAAATCCTACTGTAAGTGGTACATACCTTTAATCCCCAGCAGTGAGGAATCACAGCCAGGCAGGTGGATCTCTGAGTTGAAGGCCAACCTGGTCTAGAACAAGTTCCAAGCCAGCCAAGGCTACATAGTGAGACTCTCTCAAACAAACAACAAAAACAAAACAAAAAAAACCTAAATACACACACACATACACATCCGGGGGAAAACCCTTAGGATTCAGATTCCAGATTACTTCTCATGAGCAGTATGCTTTCTCTCTTTCACTCTAAATAAAATTTAAGTTTATAACCCCTTCCCCTTCCCCCCCAACGCACACGCGCGCAATACATGAAAAAGTCCTAACTGCAAGAAAAGAATTGTTAGCCTTCGAAATCTATTCGAAATGCGTCATCTTGGGAACTGTATCTCACGGGACCAGGAAAGTTGAGTATTAGCAGTCACTCTTGTGAATTTTCTCCACTAAACTTGATTCTGGAGCTCCCCTGTGGAGCAGCAAAGGAGACAGGAAGTAGGTAGGGACTGAAAGATGGATGAAAGCTACGGTGGGACGGGAATCAAGTGATTCTTAGGTGTCCTGGGGCGACACCGAGTGGTGGCTGGAGATACACCTGCGGGATACAGCAGGTTAGCCAGAGCTCCAGGAAGCAGGAGGCTGGGGTTCGTCCCTCAGCTCGCGCAGGGTACCCAAGGCCTGAGGAGGGTGGGCCGCCTAAGACAGGTGCACCTTCTGAGGGAGGGCTCTGCGAGAAAGAACAGCGTAGGAGCCTAGGCAACCGTGCCAGGACACCCGGGTCCCGGTGGCCAGCCGAGTCAGTGGGGCGGGGCCTCGACACGTGGGGCGGGGCTAAGACGCGCGAGGAAGGGCGCGGTCTCCGGAAACCTGGGAACCAGGAGCAGCCTGGAGCCGCTGGGTCGCTCCGGACGGCGCGACTCTAAGCAGCACCAAGCACTTTCCTACCTGCCGGCGAGAGAAAAGAGCAGTCCCTGGCTGCAGCACCCGAGAGCCGCAACGCTGGCACAGCACCGCCTTCCGGTTCCGGCCCTCGGCTGACACTAGTTCGTTCTGCAGCTCGCAGGGTTCCATCGCCGCGCCGCCACAGCATCTGCTACAACGGCGCACGCGCGGTCTGGGCTGGCTCACCCGGAACTACGCTGGCACGGCTCCGCCGGGGCGGGGCGCCGGTGCTTCGCGCTGTACCTCTGCGCAGGCGTCTGGACACTATTGCGCAGGCGCCTTTATCTATTACCGGACGGAAGAGTTACTTGTGACAATCCTTTTTCTCTATACCCGGTCACCCGGCCTCCCTTAATATTGGCCTAAGCAAATCACTATGACTAGCCTTACCACTAACTCTTGGGATATTTACATTGCCTCGTGAGTAGATGGCGATAATCCGGGTCAGGCCACACCTCAGCAAGATTTAGCTACAAAACATTTGCTTCCTATGTAAGAAGTATGTAGAATGCTGAGTACATTTCGTGTTGGGAAAAGTTGCGTGAAAACATTAAGCCTAGTGTCTAATAGTGGCCATTTATTAGGTAACAAAGCGCTCCTTATATGAAAACGTAATTTCCTTACAGGGTTTGCCCTCGGGTATAGTGCACCAAGACTAAGATAAGGTTTGCAATGGATCTAGGTTCCAGGGTGTTCCAAAGTCACAGCTCTTAACTTTCTAACTGGTCTTTGTATCTCTAGAATATTAGTTCTAGTGAAACTGTTGGGGAACGAGACCAGGACATCAGAACGAGGGAATTAAGCCAGATAATTGTTCTAGAATGTGCAGTCTTGCTATTAGTCCCATATTACATGATGATGCACATTGTGTGAGAATAGTAACCTGAGAAGGTCATAGACTCAAATCTAATAGAACGATTTCAGAAACAATGTACTGCAAGTGAAGCATGGATTAGGAAACAGCTCTGTTTAGGGTGTTAGGTCTTTATCTCTGTATTTGTTTTTTTGAGGCAGGGTTGCTCTGTGTAGCCCAGGCTGTTCTCAAACTCAAGTCAGATCTGCCCACCTCAGCTGGGATTAAAGACATGGGCAACCACTGCTCACCCATCTTTTTCTTTTTAAGATATATATATCTGTGTGTGTGTGTGTGTGTGTGTATTTTGCTTACATGTAAGTGCACTGTGTTTGTGCCTGTGGAGGCCAGAAGAGGGCACCAGATGTCTGGAACTGGAGTTAACTGTCTGCTGTAACCTCCCACATGAGTGCTAGGAACTCAGCCCAGGTCCTCTGAAAGAACAGTCAGCAGTGGGCACTCAACCATGAGCCATCTCTCCAGACCCCACTAGGTATCATTTTAATTAACCATTAGGTTGCTGGGCGGTGGTGGCGCACACCTTTAATCCCAGCACTTGGGAGGCAGAGGCAGGATTTCTGAGTTCGAGGCCAGCCTGGTCTACAGAGTGAGTTCCAGGACAGCCAGGACTATACAGAGACACCCTGTCTCGAAAAAAAAAAAAAAAAAGATATGGAAATCTATGGGAACAGAAACATCAATATTTACCAATAATTGGCTCTATATTAAGTACTGTGATTGGGGGCTTGCAGAGGTGGCTCAGCAGTTAGGAGCACTGACTGCTATTCCAGAGGTTCTGAGTTCGATTTCCAGCAACCACATGGTGGCTCACAACCATCTGTAATGGGACCCAATGTCCTCTTCTGGTGTGTCTGAAGATAGCAACAGTGTATTCATTAATACATACATACATACATACATACATACATACATTTTTTTAAAAAAAGTACTGTGATAACCACACTTGAATTTCAGAAAGAACTGCTGACAAAACAGACGTGGGGGGGGGGAAGTGTAACGGTTAAGGACATTATTTGCCTTATATATATATCATTTGCCTCATAAAGCAATGGACCTGAACTATGACAAAATTGTATAGAACTCAGATGATGATACAAATAGAGCTTCCCAGGGCTAGGAAACAGATTGATCCTGAATGAACAGTTTATTTTACAAACAGAACAATGCAGGCATGGTGGCACTAGCCTGTAATCCTAGTGATGGGCAGAGACAAAATTTGGAAATTTGGGGGACTCAATGACATACACAAGCCTGGCAACTGCAGTTAGATCCCTGGAGCCCACATAAACTTCTGCAAGCTGACTCCACTGAATTGTTCTGACTACACACACATAGCTACCCTCATATTAAGTTAAAACAAGAAAAAAATTACAAGGTGGATGCTATCTGAGGAACAATAGCTGAAGCTATCTTCTGCCTCTATCACACAAAGGCCTTCTGGCCTCCACAGGACCTACAATTTGAGTGTACAGGTCACACAGACATACACATACATATTCACATACATTTTTTTTTAAAAGAGGAAAGAACAAATGAATGGAATTCTGTTTATGAACATATTCTGTATGTAAAGCTGTGGAAATTTAAAAAGAATGAGTTTTATATCCTGGTTTTCTGTAACTGTTTACTGGTGGCTTCAGTGCATAAACTTTGAACACAGCCCAAAATTCAGAAATCAGCACTGATGCCCAAAAGCTACTTTCTCTTGGCTCTGAGGCTAAGAGAGACTTGTGGTTTTAGGTGGGTATGGTGGTGCACACCTTTTAATACCAGCACTGGGCAGGCAGAGGCAGGTGGATCAATGCCAGCCTGGTCTACACATCAAGTTTTCAAGAGCCAGGGCTCAGTTGTGTGGCAAGCTCTGTACACAGCTATTTGTATGATCATATGCCATTAACTGAAGCAAACACAGAAGACTACTATGGTGACAAAAACTCTAAAATTCATGTATGCTAAAATTGTTCAAGGCTGCTTCTTTATTTTTTTAGTTTGCTTTTTGTTTTTCAAGTCAGGGTTTCTCTGTGTAGCCCTGGCTGTCCTGGAGCTCACTCTGTAGACCAGGCTGGCCTCAAACTCACAGATCCACCTGCCTCTGCCTCCTGAGTGCTGGGATTGGGATTAAAGGCACCACTGCCCAGTGCTCGCTCTTGCTCTTGTGCTCTCTCTCTCTCTCTCTCTCTCTCTCTCTCTCTCTCTCTCTCTCTCTCTCTCTCTCTCTCTCTCTCGTAGATTCACAGTGTGAAAGAGCAATAAATTCAATAAATTGGACAAACTTGGGTAAATATTTTACTGATACTGCCAGAGAAGCAGCTGAGCTTGTTGGCAGGCATCAGGTACACATGTTGGATGAACTCCAGGAGCCTGGATGTCCTTAAACAGATCTGAAGGCAGCACTACCGACAAATTCACTTACAACCATTTGAGACAGTCCATTTTTAATGTTTTCTTAAAAAAATACAAAGGAAATTAACTCTGTCAGCAAACACAATTCAAGGAAAGAGGAAAAGTGGGATTCCAGAGCAAAAGGAAAGTGCAGCCCAGTTTAGGCTACCACATTCTCCTATTTGCTATACCAGTAATTCAAGAGTTTCACCATATGACACAGAGGCGCCTAGAATGGCAGCTCAGGAATATTGGCAGAGGTACAGAAACAAAAGATTTTCAATTTTCCTTGATTATTTTGTTCCAGGATGAGTAAAATACACTGTAAAGACAGGTACAGAAGATATAGCAGGAAAAGAACTGAATGTACCACACACAGCAGTATTAAGCACTCCTTAATAGAAGTGTGCCCTTAAAACAACAGGGCAGTAATCAGGTACCTGAACTACTAGGCTGTAGCCACTCCACCCATCCCCAAATAAATAGTGTGGAGGCGTAGTAACGTGGAGCACTTGATCACCAGGAAGATGGTCTTTTCACCCAGTTAAAGACAAATATTGCCAAGGCTATACAAGCCCTGGCAGGGACTAAGACGATTGTAAAATCACAGATATTTCTACTTTACCACAGGTATATTGAACTCTGCACATTTACAGCATCTCTTACTCTAACTTTTTCCACTGTTAATCTCTCAGTCTCCAATGCCAAGATGGAACAACATTTTACATTAGAAAGACCGTGGAATCAAATAGTATGTCCTTTCCAGCCTTCCAATTTACACTTCAGTGATCTTCTGGGTTCACCCACATTCCACTCAGCTCCAGCCACTTATTCAAATCTCTGCACCAACTATGTCTCCCTAAGTGAGAACAGCATGAATCTTCCTTCTTGGCCTCTCAAATTTTAACAGTGATCTCTTGGTTTCCTACAGAAAGGAAATGTGGTGCCTTGAGCTACCTCTGTACTTAGAAAAGATATTTTTGCTTCTGAGAGGAAAAGGACTTTGATTTTACCAAGCTTATATAAACTGATTCCTTCCAGTCCCCTGGGATGGACACTGCCCACATCGAGCTGGCCATACTCACCTTAAGTCTCTGTAATACATGAGGCACAACATGCATACATACAAACACACACACACACATCCTCCCAAGCACATGGCAAGTTAGAAACAGTAAGAAAGTGCTCCTCAGACCACACAGAGTCATGATCTGGTTTCTCACATCCAAATGTGCATTCTCTTCCTTTGAGTACCTGTTCCCCATGCTTCTGAGCAACATTACCAGTGCAAAGGAGAGTGTGCATCAAATAAGTACAATCATCACAGCACTGGTGCCTGTAATCACCCTGTGCACACAGTGAGAAATAAACATTCTGGAAAGGATCCTTGATTCTCCCACCAACTGTCCCTTGGAGTAGTCACTGGCTGCAGCTGGTGTTCAGATAACATTTACTTTTCTCGGAGAACACACACACCAGCATCACAACGCTGGGTTCCCATGGAGGCCACTACTTCCCAGCTGTCGATGATAGGGTCATAACACTCAATGCTGCTCAGCAGAGAATTCCCATCGTATCTGACGGGCAAAAAACAAAAGAAATGAGGTCTTCATCCCTTTACATACAAGTCCTAGCACTTGTCTACATGTATAAGAACCTACTGCCTGCACTGGGACAGGAAGGAAAGCAGCCCCAGTGCCCCAGTGGTTGTTCCCCACAACACACATTATGCCTCCATCCCAAATGGCTTCTTGCCTTGGATACATGATTCTAGCCCACTTTCAAAGTCCTCACCCTGCAATTGCATAGAGTCTCCCTCGAAGCACTGTGGCCCCTACATAGCATCGTGGCGTGGTCATACTTGTGACAGTTGTCCAGGAATCCGTGCGAATGTTATAAGCTTCAACAGAAGAAAGGTGGGCTGTACCATCAAACCCCCCCACCACATAAATATGGTCATTCAGTAGGGCTACACCAGCACCTGGGGAAAAAGAGAGCATTAGCAAATGAATGGCAATAAGCCTAGCATCTGAACCCAGTGTCAAACATGGTAGATAATGGCTGAATTGTGGCGATGAGGGATGCAGATGTGTCAAAGCACTAGAATGGAGTAATACAGCAAATGTTAGTGCGCGCATTGGTCAACCCTTAAGCTAGGACCTGAAATTCTAGCAGAAGGCTGACAAGGGTCTCATCTCTGCTTTCACTAATTCACAGTCTATCTCTCTTTAGTTGGCCACACAAAAAGCAGGAAGAAACGTGTTAGTAACAATGAGAGGAGCACAGGAGCACGGCCATGGTTCTGCTGTGATCTCTGTCAGAGGCAGTTAGCTGGAACGGCATGGTGTTTGCATCACAATCTATTCCACTAAGAGTTTTGAGCTGTTATTGGGATGTACTTCTATGATAGAGTACTTGCCTAGTATATGCAAGGCCCTGTGTGCAGTACTCAGAATTTTAAAAACAAAGTATTTTTAGGCATTAGAGATTTTATGTAATACTTATTGCCATTTATTATCACATGTGACATTTATGTCACATATCTGCAATCCTGGGATTACTTGGAGTCTAAAGTTAATGTGAGCTACATACTACATACAGTGAAATCTTAGATTTTTTAAAAAAAATCACCAATGTAGTGGTATAACTTGAAGCCAGAAGCAGGAGGATCACTTCATAGCACCTTGTACACTGACCAGGACTGCACGGTAGGACCCTCAAAACAAAGTCCAGCCAGGTTTGTCAGTGCATGCCTTTAATCCCAGCACTCAGGAGGCAGAAGCAGGTGTAGGTAGATTTCTGTGAACTCAAGGCCAGCCTGGTCTACAGAGTGAGTTCCAGGATAGCCAGGGCTACACAGGGAAACCCTGTCTTTAAAAAAGCAAAACATCAATGTCCAAAGAGTACAAAAAGCAAAGACACAGACCTCAACAGGACAAACACATTTATTTAACATGTACTACACATACAAAATGAGGCTAGTGGTCAAACTACAAAAATAGAAAAAACAGTACTAAAGAATAAGAAATCACTGTCCTCAAATGGACAATCTAGCTCAAAGTTTAAGCTACCGTCCTTCATCCTAATATTTTAGGGAAGGTGGAGGTGGAGGAGACTGGACCGTGACTCACATTCACAGTGGGTCTACATTGAAGTAAGAACTACAGTTCTGTCCTACTGATATCACACCCAGTAACTACACCATCACCATACACCTCAAGATTGACAGGACTTTCATTATGTCATAGGTTTGGTCTTACCAGAACGCTTGGTAGCCATAGGTGTAACGTTAGTCCAGTGTCCTGTATGAGGATCATATTTCTCAACTGAATTTAATATATTCAAGCCATCATAGCCTCCTGAAAGACAAAGTGGAGAACATTCCAAAGAGAAAGGTAGATTCTCAGGTTCACTTTAGTTGCCCTTCTGTGACTAATTCAACTGACTCTTTCAGTTCTATTTTTTCCAGAGGACCAGTCAGAGAATATAGAACATCCTACATATTGCTTACAAGAAAAACATAATCCTATTCATGGACAATATATTGAGATAAATCAGAATTTTTGTTGATGCAAGTACATGCTCTTAATTTTGTCCTCCAGAGTCTAGTAAGCACTAAGCTCTCTCCAGCCCCACCCCAGGCTCATACCTAGACAGTAGATTATTCCGCTGGCCACCACTAGTCCTGCGCCCTCTCGAGCTGTCTGCATATCTCCCAGCATACTCCACTGATCAATGTTTGGGTCATACCGCTCCATACTTGTATGACGTCTGCTTCCATCAAAGCCTCCAGAGACGTAAATCATATCTGCTCAGAGTGAACAAATTATAGACTGTTAAATTAAGAATGACACTTTCTAACAACTTTTTTCTCACCCATTGTTAAGGTGGGGGAGGAGGGGGTGTACACATGAATGTAATTACAACACTTGGGAGGTTCAGAAGGAGGTTCAGGAGGTTCAAGGCCATTCCTGGCTACAGACTTAAGTTAGCCAGGCTGAGCTATCTCAAAACTTATCCCAAGCAAACAAATTGTTATATTTCTTCAAGTTGATTTTTATTATTAGTCATAATTTCCCACTGTGTATATTAATTGTATATGGTACTATATGAAACTACATAAGCACATTCTTGTAAAAGTATATTTTGTACTCTGAGCATTTCCTCTTAAATGATAAGTCACTTAAGTCTCAGAAAGAAGGAAGGCAGTACAAACAAGCACTTAAAGCTCATGCCTGTAAGCCCAAGTTTGAGACAAAGGTAAGCTATGCAGAAAACTTAGCGAACTCCATCTCAAGAAAATAAAAATTCTTAGCCGGGCGGTGGTGGCGTACGCCTTTAATCCCAGCACTTGGGAGGCAGAGGCAGGTGGATTTCTGAGGCCAGCCTGGTCTACAGAGTGAGTTCCAGGACAGCCAGGGCTATACAGAGAAACCCTGTCTCGAAAAACCAAAAAAAAAAAAAAAGAAAAGAAAGAAAAACAAAACAAAACAAACACAACTAAAAAGAAATACTTAAAGGCATTTGGAAACTGTCCACATGGAGTTTATAAAACAGGATCAGTGCCCACTACCACATAGCACAATGAAACATGAATCACCAGTTTTATAGTCAGTATTGAAATGTATACAAATAATGAATAGTTTCTGTTAACAAAGACACTTCTAAAGCAAGAATGAGTGTTTGAACTCAGACATTTAGTCATGTTCCTACCAAACAGTAGAAGAGCTTCATAAAGCATCATTTGTTACCAAACCTACCTCCCAGTGTGGTGGCTCCAGCAAGGCCTCGCCGCACATTCATAGGGGCCACAGAGTACCACACTCCATCTTCATCTGCTGTGTAGTCAAGACATTCCACTGAACTGAGGCGGGAACGGCCATCATAGCCACCAATGACATAGATCCGATCATGTAAGGAAACTGAGGCCACATACCGTCTCTTCCGAGTGATACTCTATGGAGTGGGGAGAGGAGAGGAATAATACCGTTCAGATGGGCAAGCTCGAGCCCCTTCTCTTCCCCATCCTGTCTGTTTTCATCTTCTTTGCTTCTTCCCTGACATCGGAAACCCCTTTGTGGCTAAGGTTCATCCTCAAGAGGCTAGACGGTGACTGCCTACAGAGTGAAATGCTTCTGCCTCATTGTGACGTTTACAAAAGACATCATGGCTTTCTACTGTCTTCTCTAAGGCACTGGGCTAAGAGACTGAAAACTACGAGCATACTGCTAATCCTGTAGCCAGGTCTGGAATACCCTAAAGGGTAATAGTCCAAAGGTTTTCCATGTTTCCTCAGAAATGGTTCTTGGTTGTACAGTACTGAAATACTGAAAGGAAACTTAACTTTTTCAGTTGAACAGGAGTTAGACTCAACAAGTTCAATGAATATAGCATGACCAGGTACAAGCTATGTAGCCTAAATGGTGGCAGCAGCTAAATTTGATATATGGCTACTGACACTTCCACAATGAGAACAGTCAGAAACTAAGCTGGGTGTGGTGGTAGCACATGCCTATGATGCCAACATTTGTCAGCCTGAAGCAGGACTGCCATAAATTTAAGGTCAGCCTGGGCTATACACTGAGTATCAGGCCAGCTAGAGCTATACATAGCAAGACCTTATCTCAAAAAACAAGTCAAGTATAGTGGCTCACATGTGTAAGTAACCCTGGCCCTCAGGAGGGTGAGAAAAGCCTGTAAGTTACATAGTGTGTGTCAGCAAGACAATTTTAGCAAGTAAAGAAGCCTGTAAATTTGAGACCAGCCAGGAATACACAGTGAGATGTCTCAAAACAAACAAACAAACAAACAAACAAAGGGACCAGCAAGATGGTTTCTTGGGTAAAGGTGTCTGCTGCTAATGCTGCTAACCTACATTTGATCCTTGAAAATTATTCTCTGACCTCCACACACATGGTATGCCAGACATGTCCACATGTGTGGACATACACAAAAACAATGGAATAAAAAATGGAAAAACCCAAGAAACAACCACAACTATCCAAAGAAAAGCAAAGCAACCATCCACTGGATACCTAACTATCCACACAGCATGGGGCATGCATTTTGCTATTCTGAAGCTTTTCTACTCTCAAAGTTGGTCATTTATGAGCTAGTGTCAGGAACCAATGACATTTCTATTCTGCTGGAAATGGTTCCATTATGACTTACTGGCAAAAAGCTCCACTCTTGTGTCTTGGGGTCATATTTCTCTACCACATCAATAGGAGACTGCTGGCTTCCGAAGCCCCCAACCACCAGAAGCACTTCATTGGCTCCTAAGGACAAAGGCAGGAAAAGGCAGGTTACTTCACCCTGGCTAGGTGATTGCTTATGGGAAAATATAAGTAGATAGATTCAAACAGGAAACTGTTGTCTTCTTTTGGAGGCACTAGGTACTGGACCAAGGGCCTCAGTGTTCTACCACTACCTGTAACCACTCCTACACCATATTTAAAACTTTTTATTTCAAGACTGGGTCTTAGTTGCTTAGGCTGGTTTTGAACTCCCTCTGTATAGCCAGGCAGGCCTTGAACTTGCAAGCCTTGTCTCAATCCCTGATACAGCTAGCTTACAAACCTGTGCCACCAGGCCCACCTAGGATGCTTTTGTATTTGCCTGAGAAATAATCTAAAATAAAGCTGTGTAATAGGAAGGTTATCTATTTTTTATTTTGTGTTTCCATGTGTTTGAGAACGTCTGTGTGTATAGGTTTGAATATATGTTTTATGTGTGTAAAGGCACTGGCTCTGCCTTGTATTTCCTGTGTGCTCCCCAGTGTGTGTCTGGTCTGTATTGTTCTCTGCCTTGTTTTTTGAGACAATGTCTACTGAACTGTGGAGCTCTGCAATTAGGTTAAACAGACTCAGTAGCAAACTCAGGGCCTTCCTCTGCCCCTGTGCAGTACTGGGCTCCCGGTGAGCGCTGCCATGCCTGAGGCACGCTGGGAACCAAGGCCAGGTGCTCACACTGCTGATGAGCAGCCTCCCCTGACGAAGGAAGGGACTTCTTTCTGAGGCTATAACTTTTCAGAGTTTGAATCTCTGAGATGCACTCATCACCATAAAAGAAAGTCCTGGGCCCCCAAGACTGCTCCATAGGTAAGATCACTGGCTGCTAACCCTGATGACCTGAGGTCAATCCCTAGAACATGGTAGAAAAGGAGAACTGACTCCTATTCAAACTGTCCACACGTGCACCCCCAATGCACAAAATAAATGTTAAAGAGAATAAAGACAGCCGGGCGGTGGTGCCGCACTTCTGAGTTCGTTCGAGGCTAGCCTGGTCTACAGAGTGAGTTCCAGGACAGCCAGGGCTACACAGAGAAACCCTGTCTCGAAAAATCAAACTAAAAAAAAAAAAAAAAAAAAAAAAAAAGAATAAAGACAGCCCTTTATTTTCTTACAGAAAGTAACAGCCTGCATATCAAACTTTTCCTTCCCCTGACCTTGGCTCTCTTCAAAGGGCAAAACCTTGGCAGAATTCTTCTGGACATCTACTCTGATAACTCATGGGGAGAATAATTTGTTGGTGCACTAGTCAGACAATTTAGTAACTAGGGGTTTGCAACCTCTTGCGTCAGTGTCTCAGGGGACCACGGACTGAAAGAGCAAATGCAGCACCGCGTATCTGACCAGACACATAGAGTCAAGTAGCAGATCTGAGAGCCAAGCTGTCTTTTTTGCTCTCCTTCACCCCCATCTCTCTCAATTCTTTGAGAACAGGTTTCCCTGTGTTTCCAATTCCTAAACTCAAGCGTTCTCCCACTTCAGCATGTACCAGATTACATCTGGCTAAAACATGTTAAATGACACTAAAGGGATATGATCAGAAAATACGCTAAGTTTTCTATTGATTTTTTAAAGCCGTTACTTGTTACATTATCTAATTCCCATATTTAAAAATATCAACAAACAAACCACATCAGAGGCAGGGAAACCTCTGTCAGTTAGAGGCTAGTCTGGCCTGTCTCAAAACTAAGAAAACCAATCAAGGAACAAAAAAATCCACTTTTTTTTTTTTTTTTTTTTTTTTGCTGTGACTTTGTTCAGCAGCTTGTAAAGGTTAAAGAAACAGCAGCAGGCAGGAAACAGATTTTGTTATAAATCCCAGAAAAATGGAAACTGCCTGTCAACACAAAATTGTTCCATAAATACTAAAGTTCACAGTAGAATTTGGGCAGAGAGGTCAATGTGAGTCACATTTGTTTTTTGTTGAGACAGTCTTGTCATGTAGTCCAGGCTAGCCTCAAACTCATCATCCTTCTGCTTCTACCTCTCAAGGACTTTTTACTGTAAAACATGTAACATGTTTTAGTCAAATGTGATTTATCACCATGTCTACCACTGAGTGATCTCATGGGTTTACATGGCTAGGACTATAGCTTACTGGAGTCTCAACCTTCATTATAAAGGACTTCAGAGCCGGGCAGTGGTGGCGCACGCCTGTAATCCCAGCACTTGGGGAGGCAGAGGCAGGCGGATTTCTGAGTTCGAGAGTTTGAGGCTAGCCTGGTCTACAGAGTGAGTTCCAGGACAGCCAGGGCTACACAGAGAAACCCTGTCTCGTAAAACCAAAAAAACAAACAAAAAAGGACTTCATAATTTTCCAAGGACAGATTCCTGTTTTGAGAGACTGCTACCCAGGCATTACAGATAGCTTAGCTGTTAAAGCCTAGGCTCACAACCAAAATATAAGACTGCTAACAAAGTAAGTGTTAGTAAATTCCAGTAATCACCAGTGACAACACCTTTTGTTCTGGGGAGGGGAGAAGAGGGAAGAAGGACAGAGTCTAGGGATGTAGCTCAGAACGGCCCCAAACTTGTGATATTTTCCTGCTTCAACATCTCAAGTACTAGAAATGCATGTGTGTGCTATGAAGGACGTCTTTGTTGCCGTGTGTGTGTGTGTGTGTGTGTGTGTGTGTGTGCTGGTCTAGAACCCAGAAAGATTCAGCTGCTTCTGCCCCCTGAGTGGAGTTAGTATGCACCCCCGTACCCAGTGTCAGATGATTCCTACCTTACTTTTTGTTACTCAGAACTCTCCTATGCTAGGCAAGTGTTCTCACTAAGCCACCTCCCCAGCTATTTCTGAGCTTTTATCTTGAGACAGAGTGTCTGAATTTACTTGGTAGACCACTATGATTACAAACTTAAAATCCTTCCTTCACTGGCCTCTTGAGTAGCTGTGATTACAGGTGTACACCAGGACACCTGACAAGATTAACGTGTAAGCTGGTGCATGCCCTTAAAAAGACATAAAAATTGACCTAGTCAAAGATAATGTCAGCATTTTCCCAAAGCTATCAGTTACATAAAACTAAATCTTATTCCTTAAGGTCAGAAAATAGTTTTCTGATCTGAAAAATATTTAAAGAAATGTAGACAACGAACCTCTAGAGAAACCTGCACTTTCTGGCTCATAAATTTTTTCATTGGCTTTAGTTCAGTTTTATAAGCAATAGTGACTGTTACGTTAAAAAAAAAAAAAACAACCAACCTTCTGTCTTGGAAAGTACTCTAGTGAGTGAACTTAACCCACTTTATATGGATATAAGCTGGAAATTTACTATCTTTGAGCTATAGACCCTAGACTTGTTATTTTTAAGATAACAAAGGTAATTGCATGTTTTTAGGACTAATGCCGAGGTGTGCAAACTAAACAACTGCTAAGCTGCCCTTGCTATTGCACCTGTAGGGTAATGCTGTTAAAGGCTGAGTGTGGTGGGCCTCTGCTTCTACCAATAACTACTCAAGAGCTCTGCCTTTTAAGGGCTGAGGACCAAACTGGAGGCTCCCATTGGAGGCAGGCCTTCCATCACTGAGCTATATATGCCTAGCACTTGCCCATTTTCAAAAAACTTTTTTTTTCCTTAGATGCCCAGCCAGCACAGCTTGGTGCCTATAGTCCAGCTACTTAAGAGGATGAGGCAAGAGAATTAAGAACTTTAGGTCAGATTAGGCTACAGTGCAAGATTCTATTTAAGAGAGAGAGAGAGAAAGAGAGAGAGAGACAGAGACAGAGAGAGACAGAGACAGAGAGACAGAGAGAGACAGACACAGAAAGAGAAAAGAAAACGCTGAGGATAATGAGCTGACTCAGCAGTTAAGGGCATAAAGGCATTTCCCACCAAGCCTGGACACACACACCATGGTCTGTGCAATGTCCTCCCACTGTTGTGCTCAATACATAAGAAAGAAAGGAAAAGGGGAGAGAAGTCCCAGCTGTGCACACTTGACTCCGTCTCACTTGGTGCCACACCACCCATGGTATAGCTATACTGCAATCTACTTAGTCATTCACTCCTCTACAGAAGGAACTTGGGTCGTATACCATGTTTTTGGAAGTATCAATAGTTTTTGGTCAGCATACTCAGTCTTATATACTGGATACACTGGTGATTATACTCCTACCTCCATTCCACCAAGGCACTTAGGATAAAGGCAGTACATGGTTTATATAATTTCACCTTGGTTCAGCAATATGAATATGTTTAATACTATTTGTATGATTAGAAAATCATTACCATATATTATAATTAAAAAAAGAACATGGGAACATGGGTATGGTGACTCATAACTATAATCCTGGAATTTAGACTAAGGCCAGGTCATTTGAGTTCAAGGTCAGCCTGGTTCACACAATGAATTCTAGGCTAGCCTGGACTACAGTGCACTAGCCTACCTAAAAAAAAAAAAAAAAAAAAAAAAAATCCTCTAAACCAAACCAAAATCCGATCTGGAAATTATGCAAATATTTTCCTGTAACTTCTGTTTTCACACTTTATTTGTTCCTTAATCTATATGCATTGATCTCTTTATTTTTGTATATAGTACATGATACACAGTTCACATTTTGTCATACTGCAGGAATTAATACTTTTCCTAACAGTTTTCTGTGTGTTTTTAATTTATGTATGCGTTCCTGCATGAATTTCAATGTACAAGTGTGCAAGTGTCTTTGGAGGCCAGAGAAGGATCTCAGATCCCCTGAACTGTAGTTACAGACTGTAGCGAGTCTCCTGATGTGGGTAAGAGAGCAGTCAGAGCTCTCAACCCCTGAACCATCTCTCAAACCCCAATTCTTTTTTGTTTGTTTGTTTGTTTTTTGTTTTGTTTTTGTTTTTCAAGACAGGGTTTCTCTGTGTAGCCCTGGCTGTCCTGGAACTCACTCTGTAGACCAGGCTGGCCTCGAACTCAGAAATCCGCCTGCCTCTGCCTCCCAAGTGCTGGGATTAAAGGCGTGTGCCACCACTGCCCGGCTCAAACCCCAATTCTTTCTTCTACCTCTCCTTCTCTTTCTCTAAACATATTTCTGTGTGGTAGAATTTGAGGTGATTTAATTTTTTGCTTCTATATATTTTAATATTAAACATACAGTAAAGGTGACACTAAAAAACACTGGAGGTGGGCAGGACTGGAGTGATGTCTCAGTGATTCAGAACACTGGTTGCCCTTCTAGAGTAAAGAAGTTTGATTCCCAGCACCCACTTTGTGGCTCACAATGGTCTGCAACTCCAGTTCTATGAGGACCTGACGTCCTCTTCTGGCCTCCATGATGCACACACATCCTCCATTGAGGCAAAACACTCACATATTATACAACAAAATAAAAATATTTTAAACGGGAAGAATTTCGTTAAAAACAGCAGCAAAGAAGGCCAGAGAGATGGTTCAATGCTTAAAAGCTCACACTATTCTTGCAGAGGAGGTTTGGTTCCTAGCATCCAGCTGGCTCATAACAGCCTATAACTCTACTCTAGGAGATCTGCTTCCCTTAGAAACTCATATAAACACAAACACACATGAATAAAAGAAATCTTAAAAACAAAACAAGAAAAAAAACTGGAAAAAAAACACTGCTTATTCCTCTATCAATAGAGGACTTGACTATCAATATCCTAATATACATTAATCCTAAAATCAAAAATAAGAAAAGGAAATAATGATAAACCATTTGGGGCTGATGAAATGGTTCCATGCTAAGAATCTGATCCTAGAACCCACATGGTGGTTCATAACAATCGGGAACTCTAGTTCCAGGGGATCTGATGCCCTCTTCTGACCTCTGTGGGCACTGTACACATGTGATACACAGACATGCAAGCAGGCAAACACTCAAACATATAAAATAAAAAATAAATTCTTTAAAAAAATAAAAGTAAATGAAGTGCCACCTCATATATACAGAATAAATGATAATCTATAAAATAATTTTACACAGTGGCAGGAAGGCTCTTTTGACAAAGAAGTAATGGAGACCAAGATAAAAATAGCTAAGTATTTATTCTGTGTCAGCTAGGTATCTTATCTATGTTCCAATTCAATCCTCCTAACAACCCACTGAGAAGAAACTAAGCCTCATTTTAGGGGTAAAAGCATAGGCTCAAATAAGTGGTTTTTTTTTTTAATATTTGTTTATTTTTTGATTGACTGATTGATTGGAGACAGGGTCTACTATTTAGCCCTGGATGCTCTGGAACTCACTATCTGGACCAGGCTGGCTTTGAATGCAGAGAGATCAACCTAACTAGGCCTCATGAGTACAGAGACTAGTGCTCTGTGCCACCATATCCAGTTAGGATCAGACAAATTGTTATCACCAATTAGTCACTGGCAGGGCTTAGAAGTGAACCTCTGTCTGCTAACATAAGTAGCACGTACGTGACAGTAACTATTCCTAGCCTTTTCCTAGATTTCTTCATTTAACTGTCATAACTTTCTTAGAGCTGGATGCTATGTTGATTTCAAGTTCACAGATAAGCATCTGAGGCAGACAGAATAAACTTCCTGTCTAAGGTAAGTAGCAAACTAGAAATCTATACCACAACTCTGGCCTCACAGGTCAGGATTTTACCTATGATATGTGATTGTCAAAAGCCCTGTAGTTTTAAAACTTTGTTTGTTTGAGACAGTCTACCACGCTGGCTTCTAACTTTGTAAGTGCCCAAGGATGAACTTAATCTTCCTGCCTCTACTTCCTGATTACAGGCATTTTTACCACTACACCCCGTGTATGTTGTGCTAGGGACTGAACTCAGGGCTAGGAAAGCACTCTAACAACTGAGCTACATCCCCAGCTCCAAGCCCTTTATTTAAATGCTTAAATAGAAATTTAATGTTACACAATATATGATACTTTGTAAAATCTTTTTCTCTCTACTTTATCTAACTTAACCTCCAATAGTTATGTACTATAAAGACACTCTCAACCTATAGGAATTAAAAGCTTAAAATGGCAGCTACATGTCTAAAGAGATTAAAAGCAGGTTTGAAACAAGTCTACTGTATGCATTACAGATGTTATTTCCAACTATATCATACTATCTGAAAAAGGAGTTGACAGACACTCCCTCATTTTGCAAGGAATACCAGCTTACCTAGACGGGCTCTTGTCCTGGGTCCTTGCATCTGACTCCGAAGTTCAGGCCTTAGGTGAAACTTTTTTGCTTCATCAACTAGATCCCTGCACTGTAAACTACAGCGGATGAAAGGCTAAAAGACAGAAGACAGAAGGGAACTGGCCATTTCTAATGCTGTAAAAACAAAATGACACATATAAAGAAGCAATTTATGTACACGGATAAAAGCACATAAGGATTAGTATGAATCTTAAGGGAGCTGAGCTGGCTTCACATCTGCAACTCCAGTACTTGGCAGGCTGAGATAAAAGGATTTCTGAGACTTCAGGCCAACTCAGGGCTACATACTGACTTCTAGGTATGATCTAGAGGGAGACACTGTCTCAAAAAGGCAAGACACACATTCTCATTCATATTCATTC